TTTGGCGTCAATAAATCTTCCGCAGAAGTCTCAGCTCTCATTCATCCTTTCCTCGATATCCTCGACAATCTTGGAGTAAATTACATGACAGCAACGAATACGTACAGCGGATACCTCGAGGGCTACAATACTCTGACATTCCTAAAAGACTTCACAGTTGCGGATATTCTCGTAGGCTCCCGACTCCTGCCCCGGTCGCTTTGGGAAGATCCGGAGAAACTTGGGAGTCTTCAGAACACTATTCGCAGCATCTTGGAGGGAGGCACAGCCGCTGTCGATTTCATCCTACGGCCTACGTTGCAGGTTGCCGGGAACCCTGATAATGCTGTACTTCCGGCATGGAGAAACAGCGAGCGGCATTTTGCGGTTGCACTGTGAGTTTCTGTAATCCCCCACGTAGAGAAGCTCACGTCCGTCATTCAGTCCCCTGGTCGATGGCCAATCCGGAGAGGAAGCCTTAAACAATCAGGCCAGAATAACCACAGAGTTTATCCCGGAACTGAAACAATTAACGCCGGGGTCGGGGTCCTACAATAATGAGGTTATGGTTCTTTTTCTTACGCCGCACGAATGTCTGACCGTGAATCGCTAGGCCGATTTTCAAGATCCTGACTTTAAGCAAGCATTCTGGGGTCCCAACTATAATAGACTCCTCGCAATTAAGGATAAGTGGGATCCGGACCAACTTCTGTATGGCTCAATAAATGTTGGGGGAGATCGGTGGAAGGAGACAAAGGAGGGGAGACTTTGTAGAGTCTAACTTGATATTAACCGTTCTTTAACGATTTGCTCGCTCGGCGGTGCAATTGCTCCATATATCCATCCTCCTTCTGGATTTCCTCTGCTCTGCCTCTTGCATTAACCCCTTCTAACCTTAACTTTCTGTGCTTCTTCATCACCGCCTTGAGCAGCTGACCAGTGCGCAGTCTCTTTCTGACAGTACAGAGGTGCTGCCGCCTACGGCGCAGCTCGATTCGATCTTTATCATGCCGGTGGGCCACGTCGTCTTGCCGATTGTGAAAATATAAAGAGGGTGCTTTGCTTTCATTCGTCTGGCATTTTCTGTCTGTTGTTCATGCCCTCAAATTAGTGGCCTTAATTCACCCAATCACAACACCCTTCTCCGGGAGCCACGGCCTAATCTCGGAACACCTCTGTTTGCTGTTGCGAAGCTATTGGGTCTCGTCTTGGTGTCTAAGCTGGTGCCGCGTGAATGGGTATATTGTACTCTGTTGTCTTTGTCTCCTACACCGAAATTGCTTCTGCTTTCTCTTGGTCAAAAGCAAGACTTTCCGAACCTCGCATTGGGCATTGTCTACTCCCATGAGGTCCACACAAATCGCTCTGACTGCACTTCATCCGGACCTCAAACTTTTACCATCCAAGATTTCTGTCAAGTTGAACTTTTGGCTTGACTCCATTCAAAGTTCGAAGCTATTGTGTCCATTCAAATATAAGTGTATCATTTCTTCAAGCGTTGTGGCGGTGCTAGTAGTCACATTAGGATGTTTGTACACACATATCATGACCCATACCTTCTGTTTCCACACCATCACTGGGGCTGCGCGACCGATTCGGACTTCCTGAGTTCGAGACCCCTTTCCTCGGCTTATACCAGCTCGAAGAGGCTGAGAGCCTCTCCAAGTGGTGATTGGAGCGGATCCGACTTCCTACGTGCAGCAACGCTCTGGCTTCAGGGAACAACCAGCACCTCAGCAAAAGCGATCGTAACTTCAGATATCGTCGAGACCAACGCCTGGCAGAAGAGGCCCACGCGAGGGAAATTTCGAACGTGGAACGCACCGCTAGACACCGCACACGGAGCACCTCACCATCACCAGACACAAATCTGTCGGCCCAGGACCCGACGAACACATCCTCCCCGAGCACACCGACAATATCCACACCCTCGGACATTTCACTTTCACCAGGACCATCGCCTGTACGCTTGCCGAGTCTGCTACCGGCGTTTTTCACGCCAAAACCCCCACGCACCCAGGCGTCGCCGAGGCGGCCTCCATCCCCAGAAACCAGCTCGTCTGAGAACGAAATGGCACCCCCAAAATCTGTGGAACTTTTCCGCGGAAACTGCGTCGCCGAGAAGGCGCACGTTTGGCTCCGCACCCTCGAGGGGACATGGCCGTACGACACGAAGGAGGAGGAGAAGCTGTATCAATTCGAGAAGGGCCTGCACCCGGGCGGGCAGGCGGACGAGTGGTGGAGCGAGCTGAGGGCAGGAGAGAAGAGCACGTGGGCGGCGCTGCTCGCGGTGTTTGAGAAGAAGTGGCCGAAGCCGAAGGTGACGCGGCGCACGATGGATGTGGTCATCGAGGAGCTCAACACCAATGTCCTCCACCTCCACGAGCTGGGGCAGTACGTCAAGGACGAGGACGGGACCTCTGTTCTGTCACACGTCGGGTGGGCCGAAACAACACGCAAGCTCCTGACCGAGCTACCAAAAGAGGACGAGGCGATGATGCTGAGAGGGAACATCCGCAGCACCCTACCTGTGGCTTTCCGCCGTCTTCTCAACGATACAGGGCTGAACACGTGGGAGAAATGGCTCATGGCCGTCAAGAACGTCCCCCTCGACGCGATCCGCGATGCCATCGAGGATAACCTGCACAGGAACCCCCAGCCGGAACACCTCACGGAGAGCTTTAGCAACGCGCACATCAGCTCGCCACGAACGGTGCAAACGTTCACAAGCCCCTGATCAACCTATGTCCCACCGGCGGCAAGGCTCTCTCAGCCCGTACCACGGCAACCTCAGACATCACCGTACACCACAGCGCCCCCGACTGCATACCCACCCCGCACCCCCTGGAACGCACGCACAACTGATGTCTTCAGCGACAGTAGCACCATATGGGCACCCACCGCATTCACAAAGAACCTCCTGACTTCTCCTGCTAGTCCTTCGGCATGCCGAGCACGCCCCACGAGCCTCAGCGGCGACCCAGCACATGACGTCGACATCGCGCGCCAGATTTCCCAAGCAGTGCGCATGAACCCTGCCGACCCAATGGGCACGCAGCGTTACAAGGCGGTGAAACGCTGACTATGGGGCAAGCGGTGAAATAACCACAACACAAACCTTGTAAATGAATATGCGGTTCGATAATGCAACTACAACAACTCAAACACTATAGTCCTCGTGCAAGTTCGGGGTTCCAATCCAGTATAGATTGTGGCAATTTGAACTTTAATTCTCTTTGAGAAGCAAGACTTTACAGATCTACAAGTCGTATAGATAAAACTTGCTCGAATCCGTTCTAGGCGCAATCGCGATAGACAGACGAGATTTTATGTTCAAAGGTTTTGTATGATGTGGGTCTAGGTTTGGAGATGATACTCCGATGCGTAAAGCAAGTGATTCTTATGAATTCCGATTCCAAATAGTATCCGCGATTGCTAATCCTTGCGAGATTACAACCAATTGTCAAGTCTGATCTGTTTCCTTATATTCCACGCGTCCGTTCCGTTTATCCAATATGTCCACGCGTCGTTTATAAAGATCCAAATCCAACACAGATAATATTCAAACAGGGAAAACAAACGAAACTTGGTATAGCTTCTGGGTGTCTCCGAATGAATGACTACTCTACCGGTTAAGCGTGAAGTCTAGTAACTTCGCGTCCAACAGGTGGGGTGAGATCCACTGGTGTTCCTCCCATAACCATCCACTTAAATACGTTACAGGATTCTAAATATAAACGAGACAGATACAAACGTGCAATAGGGTTCAGGGTATATGACTAGTGGTATAGCAGCTAGCCGATGAACTCCTTTCAGATATCAAGCGATTAGTAAAATTGAGAGAGATTTGTAAGAAACATCAACGAGCCGAGCTTAGCGATGAGTCAAGATCTACATCGCTTAGAACGATCGTGATGGGATATTGTTGATATGTCAACTTTTAGCCGACCTCCTCGTCAGCACTCCGTTACCTTCCTCGGTAACCATCCGCTCAAATGGTTCCGCCTTGAACCGTTTAAGTGATTTGTCTGAAAATCATGATAGCCGCCACTTCCCAGTACCAGAGTACAGTTCCTTAGTCATTTGTTAGATCGACCAAGTCCCGTCCTCTCTTGGCAGTTCTAGAGACGTTAGATGATGCCCAAAATGATCCCTCTGGTTCAGAAGGATGTTCCCTCGTGATAGGCCCTTAGTCAGGGATGTGCAGTAGCCCCAATCCGTTTCCAGGATGGTAAGGCACTTTCCGCGATTGCTCCATTAGCAACTTCCCACTTCAACCCTTTACCAGGATTGTTGTCCAGCGTCTTTCTAATGGTTCGAGACACATTATATCCCTCTTAGCTAACTGCTCAGGCCAGCATTAGCTCTTTGTGAGATGACGTCGTAATGTAGTGAAGTACATTATAGTACGTTGCAACTCGAGCAGATTTGAATAAATGCCCGAGTGCCCCAATACCAGGTCTGTCAGCGCACCCCTGGTTGTAGTACTTTTACAAAATATCCTGACAAGTCTCAGGGGCCGTATTACAAAATATCTCGAGAGTTGTCCAGCGTGGGAAAGCTGGGAAATGCAAAGGAAAAGTCAATAGCGGGGATTGAACCAAAAGCCTTTGCCTGATCTAGAATAAATAGACCAGTACTTTAACCACTGCACCACCAGGGCTATAAGAATGACTTCTACCACAGGGGTAGAACCATCATGGAAACACCTAATAAGCCTTGTACTCACCCTGTACAGCCTGCATAGGGCCTGGTTAGTGGTTAGGGTAGTTAGAGTTCAGGTTAGAGGTTTGGGTTAGGGGTTAGTGCCTTTCTCCTAGGTATATTTATATATTTTGGTTAGAGGTTAGGGTTGGTTAGGGTTGGTTAGGGTTTTTAAACACCCCAGAACACATAATAAACAGTGATAAACAATTTTCGAAGACCTAGGGCAGCTTGCCTGCCCTAGGTGTGGGTATCAGCAGCTCCAGGTAGGGTAAGCCTGGGCTTAGCCTAGCTGGGAAAAACATTTTTGTAGTATAGCCCTTGTGGTGTAGTGGTAAAGACTCTGCCTGGTTATGTAACCAGAAGGTCACAAGTTCAATTCTTGCTGTGGCCAATTTTTTGAGCATTACCTCTTCCTGGCCATTTTCCCATGCCTGACAACTCTCGGCATATTTTGTAATATGGCCCCCGAGTGGTCTCGGGATATTGCACAATTATACTACAACATGGGCTGGTCAGCGGACCTCGAGGTGTGGATGGCTCAGCATGGGAACTCAGCCGCACCTGACTACACCTGCTACCCCTTCACCCCAGGCACGGCAGCACCGGGATTGAAGGAATGCTACCGGTGCGGACTGCTCCCAGACCCGCCCCACTTCGGACCGAGCGCCTGCAGGGAGCGCGGTCACCCGCTGGTCCCCACTCGCGAGCTGAACATCCGCTCAATTGTCGGCCAGATCGTACATCCACCGAGGCAGCGCACAGCAGGCATCTCTCAAGTCACCGAAGTCCCGTACGACCTATTTGGTGGTTTCGATCCGGAACAGCCCCTGTATGAAGCACAGTCGGAAAATGGAGAGGAACCCACCGATTGAGGGGTGGTGTGGTTCCTAATCCAAATTCCCCGGAAAGAAAGCGCAGGCAAGGACGCCACTGGGACATTATTACATATGATCCACTCATTGTATTCTTTGCACCTACAAATACAGGGATTCATGAGTATATGACGTCCCTACCAGCCCCCATCCTCAGCCTCCACAACGCCGACCAAGACTCGGTAGCCCCGTTCCTCCAACGCATGCAGCTCATCAGCATCGACGGCATTAAAGTATGCCTTACAGCGCAAGTCGATAATGGCGCGACACGGAATTGCATGTCGCTTGCGAGATGGAAGCAATATGGCCACCTGCTAGGCCGAGCCCTGCCGTCCAAGACAAAGCTCAGCATGGCAAACGGACGCAAGCTCTGGCCATACGGCCGATGGTGGGGCGAAGTAGCAGTCGGCGGGGTGAGTGCGTTCGCGTCCTTTGAGATCTTCGAGTGCAGCGATGCGTTCGACATCCTGCTCGGCAAACCATGGCTGCACAGCATGAGGGCGCTCCATAACTACGAAACGGACGAGATACGCATACGGGCCAGCGGGCGCGAAGCGGTGCTCTACAACGAGCCCCAGGTCATCAAGCCTAGACGACCAGGAGCAGCAGCACCGACAGCGGGGGAAAGGATGGAAGTGGAACGCGCAGGGAACGTGGGACATGCGGTGCACGCTCCGGCGGAAAGCGCAGGCACCACAGCGCACATGGCGCACACGGCGCACACAACAGAGGTGGAAGGCGCAGCAGACGTGGGACACGCGGCGCACGCTCTGGCGGAAAGCGCAGGCACCACGGTGCACACGGCGCACACCAAGGTGGAAGGCACAGTGGAAGTGGGACACGCGGTGCACGCTCCGGCGGAAAGCGCAGGCACCACGGCACACACCAGGGTGGAACGCGCAGTGGATGGGAGACACGTGGTGCACACCTCGGCGGGAAGCACAGGCACCACAAGACGCACGGCGCACACGGAGATGGAATGCACGGTGGACGTGGGACACGCGGCGCATGCCCCGGCAGAAAGCGCAGGCACCACAGCACACGTGGCGCACACCGAGGTGGAACGCGCAGCGGACGTGGGACATGTGGTGCACGCCTCGGCAGAAAGCGCAGGCACCACGAGGCACATGGAGCACACTGAGGCGAGACGCGCAGTGTACGCCATGCACACGGCCAACGCGGGCACAGGGGATGCAGAGGAGACGAGAAGGACGGCGAAGAACGTGGGGAATGAGGATGAAGGGGAGGCGACAGGGATGCACGAGGAGAGTGCAGAGGAGAGGTGGCATCAAAGTGAGCTCATGAGGCTAGCGCGGAAAAGAGGGAGAGAACGGGCACGGAAGGATACACAGCTGGAACAACGAGGTGTTGTTGGAGGCAAGGGGAACTCGGGATTCGAAATAAGTACATAGGGTCGAAAAGTTTTTTTCGACCCTCGGCAGACCCCCCCCCCCCCCCCCCCCTCCTTCCATATAGGGAAGGAGTTTCCCACCCCTAGCGCCGGGCCGTCGCCTCCGCTTAGGGCCGCAGCTTAGGATACCACTGAGGGCGGGCTCGACAGGCAGTTTGACTATCTTACAGTGTAGTAGCAGCTTCCTGGCCATCTAATATACCTCTGGTGTGCTCTTCCTTACACCCCTGTACTATACTGGTCTATCACCCCCACTTTAGCACTGGGCACCAAATTATCATAACCTGGGTGTATATTGGCAGGGAAAAATAGTGGGACTGTATATCCATGATAGTGAGTGTCAAGTTATTTTTTTTTGAACATCGGGGAAGGTGGTTGAGCCAACGGAAGGCAAAATCTATGCGTTGTACGTGATCCGGCATTCCATCTTAGGAAATTGACCTCCAAGATGGTTCGGGCATCGTACAAACCCTACCTGACATTGTCCAAACGGTAAATTGAGGGTTTTCAACCCCTTCTAACAAAAGTATCAAAAAGTTTTTTTCAGCCTTCCCCGGGACCCCCCCCCCCTCCCCACGTACGAAATTTTAATCCCGAGTTCCCCTTGGTTGGAGGCGGTGGAAGATAACCCAGGCGGCACCACCATGGCGACCAAGTGGTGTGTCTGCCACGTGTTCACGGCACTCAATAAAGCGATGCAGGTGCCCCCATTCCCACACGGGGACCTGAAATCCAAGCACGAGTTTGCGGCCGGGCACAGATGGGCAAGTGTTATGGACTTCGCAGCCGGCTATTACGCCGTTCCACTGGACGAGGAGTCAGTACCTTACACGGCATTCTATGTCGAGGGCCGCGGCTATTTTGTCTATCTACGGATGCCATTCAGACTCACCGGCGCGCCCACGACCTTCTGCGAGATGGTGGCAATCGCCCTTGACGACATGATCGGACGGGAGTTGGTCAACTGGATGGATGACATCTGCCTTCCAGGTGATGTTTTCGAGACAAAATTGGCGAACTTGACACGCTTCTTCCAGCGCTGCCGGGATAAAGGACTATCACTGTCACCTTCGAAAACCAAGCTCTTCTTCACCGAGGTGCTCTTCGCCGGCGCGATGGTGGGACCGAACGGGCTGAAGCCGAACCTGGACAAAGTCGGTGCAGTAGCGAATTGGCCGGAGCCGGAGAACGTTACGGACCTGATGGGTTTCCTCGGCCTCACAAATTATTTCAGGCGCATGATCCCAGACTACGCGAGAATCGCTGCACCACTTACCGACCTCACGCGGAACATGGAGATACACTCCCCGGGAGCTAGTTGGAGGGTCTGCAAGGGAGCGTACAAACGCACGCTGAAGGCGACGTCGATCAGGAGCAAATGGGGAGAGTCTCAACAAAAGGCCTTTCTTACACTGAAATGCGCATTATCACAGGAGCCAATTCTAAAGACCCCGCAATATGATGGCCGCCCGTTCCGGGTTACGACCGACGGATCGAGCGAGGGCTTCGCAGGGTTCCTCGCCCAGCAGTTCCCATTCATCAACAAAGATGGGAAAGAGGTCCAACGATGGCACCCGATCGCATACTGCTCCAAACACACGTCGAGTAGCGAAGCTAAGTATGAGCCGTTCCTGCTCGAATTTGCGGCGCTGAAGTTCTGTCTCGACGAATTCGAGGCGTACACGTACGGCTCACCCATCGAAATCGAGACCGACTGCCAAGCCCTCCGTGACACCCTCATGCGCGAACGCTTCAATTCCCACCACAGCCGTTGGAAAGAATCAATTCTGGCACGTAACATTGTCGACATTCGCCACCGGCCCGGCGTCGAAAACCCAGTCGCAGACGGTCTCAGCCGGATGTGGAGTCAGCGAAAGCGAACGAACGCGGATGGCTCGAATTGGTCTGTCCTCGCTGACTGGGACGCGTCAACGGGGATCACACGGGACATACTCAGTGTCACACAGATGTCGGCGAGCCACCCGTTACAGACCCGCTTTGCTGACGATATTTTCTTCACCCCAATAGTCGAATACCTCCTCGGAAATTCAGCCGGCGCGTCGATTTCAGATCGCAAGAAGGCAGCCCACCGTGCCAACGGCTTCATGATAGAGGACGGCAAGCTTTGGCGCGTGGCGGACAAGGCAGCGCGCCGGGTGGCCCGGACCGAGTGTATACCGACTGGCCTTGGTTTCCAAACGGCGATGGATACACACGCGCTCAATGGCCATTTCAGCGTCGAGAGCACGAAGCTCAAACTTGCGGACCGTTATTTCTGGCCCGGCATGGATGCGGACTGTCGCCAAGTGATGCTGGAATGCCCCCGGTGCAAGAGTTTTGGTGCGCCGACCCTGAACTCCCTCCTCCAACCGATTCGCCGTACCCAGCCGTTCGGGCTCATCGCAGGCGACTACTTGTCACTACCCCTCGGCAAGGGCGGATTCAAGAACGCCGGCCTGTACATCGACATCTTCTCGCACTTTGTATGGGGAGACAAGCTCAAAACAGCTGGAACGGCGAAGACAACGACAGACTCCCTCGGCCACATCTGCTACGAGTTCGCAGTACCAGATGCCTTCATGGCCGACGGGGGGAGCCACTTCCGCAACATCGTGGTGGACGAATTCTGCGCCGCCAACAATATCAAGCATATCACAACCCCGTCACGTTCACCGTGGGTGAATGGCTTGATCGAGGGGACTAACAGGATTTTCCTAGGCATACTGAAGCGCTTATGCGCCCCGGACCACGATGCTGAGGAGGGAGCTGTACAACCAGAGGACATCCCCTCAAACTGGCCCGATCATTTCAATAAGGCGATCCACATGATGAACGACCGCGTCCTCGTCGCCCTCAAAGCCACCCCACGCGAGCTTCCCTTCGGGAGGTCCTTCACACCCGAAAAACACACCCCCGAGTCTATCGCCGCTTCCACATCCGCTTCCGATGCCGACATCCACTTTGCACTAGCGGACAGCCTGCGATGGAGTGCACATCTGAAGTCACTTCAACGAGCAGCTCAACAAAAATCTTCCTTTGACGCTAACACACGCATTGTCGAGTTCAAGATCGGCGATGTCGTGCAGTGGTACGACTCCGAAGCCGATG